GGCGATATCACACTTAGAACCATCCTCAGAAATCCAGGAAAAATTTATTCAACTTCCAGCCGACATATTCAGCGAAAGATCGATTTTCAAAAAAAATGACAAAAGTGTTGATCGGCGCTACTGAACATCAAGCGTAATACGCAAGACCTAAATGCTATTTCCACGGCCTCACTGTGTTAGACCAAAAATCTAATTAGGTATGTGCTACTAACAAAATTAATAGTAACATGTTGAGTAATTTGAGATTGACAAACCGAGTATAACTTACCGCTCAATCGAAGGTCACACCAATAGAAGCGGTTTTTTCGGCAGAAGAGTTTATGGTGATTGCTGCTGGTTGATGTAACTAGTTGCCAACTTACCTCTTCTTGAAGCTAAAAAACTTTGTTCCGTGGTGCAGAGATCAACACATAATCAGGTGATTAACTTCATTGCAATGGTGTTTTCAATGAACTGCACAAACGTCTGGTAATGTACGACAGTTGAACCCTTAAAAGTAACATGGTTTTCATGATGAAGAAAGGTACCTTTAAACTGGAGTTACGGTATGGAGATACGTAGGATGACAGTCCAAGTGGATCCTTGATTTTCCAGGAATAAATCTGGACCCCTTAAAACCCTATAACATGAGTGTAATGTGGAACTGCTCATGTCGTATTATTTGTCGGTCGATAGAACATCACTGTATTCCATAAACAGAGTTTTCGTGTTAAGAGCCCAAACAACGCCGTATCAGCTTCTCCTAGTCTTACTTTTTCAAAATGGCATTCAAAATATCCTGTGTATGATATTATCTTAGCCCCCAGGTGAGATCTTGACGTACAGTTAGCAACAGATGCGGTGTATTAGCCTCTTGTGCATATCTTATAGATGTAGTATAGTTGTATAGTTGTACTGTACCATGGAACATATTGTGGAATGGAGTGACAGTGTATCTGACAGATGATATTTGAAGGCGCCTTGATTGTAAGATAATCCTCAGTGGTACATTGTAACTAATATAGGAGACGGAGGTGAGATGTCCGTAGTTAGAGCGCGGAATGTCCGCGGTTCGAACCCGACATCGGCCTCTCGACTTCCCCTGTCTAGGTTTGGGCAACTTGGCGGTACCCCATCCCTCGTGCTTCCATCGGGTTGTATAGCGGTCGGGGACCGAAAGTGTGCTACAGCTGAACGGTTTTTATTTATTTATTTATTTATTTATTTATTTATTTATTTATTTATTTATTTATTTATTTATTTATTTATTTATTTATTTATTGTTTAATTTAATTTTTACTAGTCAGAACAAGGCGAATGCTGACGGTTAGGAAAGTGGGTAATCCACACTCTTCCGTACTGAGTAGAGGCGACACCAGATATTTATTTATTTATTTATTTATTTTTTTAATTTTTACTAGTCAGAACAAGGCGAATGCTGACGGTTAGGAAAGTGGGTAATCCACACTCTTCCGTACTGAGTAGATGGTGGGCGACACCAGATGGATTTAAATACCTGAAAAATGAGCGTATCTTACATACGGATGATATTAAACTAGGATACGTGTACGCAATTTTTGTATTTGTCACTAAAACTATCTATGATCCAGCATCAGCCATAAACTATCATTTACGTACTTTATCTCACAGGGTCGTTGGTTATTAGTTCCTTGTCGGTAGATCTTTAGAAACAAGTAGCTTTGAACCGCTGTGACAGTGTGCCCAATTATTGTCAGCTCGGGTACGTTTGTTTGTAGCTGATCAGGTAACCAATGACCGACCTTGACATCTCACAAACGTCTGCATCGATTGGATATCGATGAGTGATTATATAGCACATCCGCGTTATCTGCTCGCCTTTGTGTGGTTCCAAATAATATCTGATGTCCATTGAAACGACTAGCCGGTGATGCGTATGGTTTGCAATCTTGTTGGTCTGTTCGCGATGTCTAGTGCGTTGTGGTCTGTTTTCGCCTAATTTGATTGGTCCTTTAATTAGCTTCCTTTCCAGGGTTTTAAAGTTTAGTTTGACTTTCTCTCGTTTTGAATTTGGTTGACCTTACTACATCGGACCGTTTTCAATGTTTTTGATTACTTCTTGATGGAGTGACGCGTTTCCATGAATTCACGTTTTTTCCTTGCTCCTGCTATGAAAACCGCCCAGTTGATTTTCTGTCCATCCCCATCTTAGTGCCTGGCGATGCGTGAAAACTGGTTATGCTCATTACTCGTACGTTTGTGTGTCACTAAACCTGGTAGAAGACCTTCTCAGTCGAGTCCTTGCATCAACGCTTGTCGACGATCATGTTTCTGATCAATATGCCTCATTCTGCTTTGTTTTTTGGAAGTGCTGTCCGCAGGCCGTCTGCAGGTATGTAGGCCGTTGTTATGCCATCCGTCTGAAAAATCTTTCATTCATTTCTAATAAGCTCTAAATGTTTTGGTTTAGGTTGAGCTTCACCGGGCAAAAATTCTCGGATGTTTAGGGCACTGTAAAAAAAGCAGCCTCCCGTTGTTTTCTCTTTCCAGTATGAATCCCATATCGTCGGAAACGTGATTCGAGAGGTTTAGTTCTATTGATTGTAGTAGCACGTATCAGGTTTGCATTTTAAGATTTGTTTATGGCAAAATAGTCTTTTTTTGGTTTCGCATCATTGGGCAAACTACCAAATTCAAACTAACGAGCAACTACATAACAAAATGGAATATACTACTCGATGTTTTCCAGTAAATACTGATCGGTCGTAGTGTATTTTAGGTCCCTTGAGCTATGTGGTAAAATTCCCTAGGGCACATCAGTCCTCGGTCAAGGAAAGAATCCATTCTTAAGGCTGGTGTCATGCCATCCCCTATGGCTTGCGTAGAATAAACAATTTACCGTATGCAACTAATCCGCAGTTTACAGCCCAAGGTACAAAATCAATAAATTTGTCCAAATTAGTGGAAAAACTACAGTGCAACGGACGTTTGTTTTGTGTCCAAGAGAAAATTATGGCCTCCTGGCATTACGGAAGGATTTACACAGTAACCTAACAAACAAACTGTCATTCTGAATACCTGAGTAAATAAGTAAGCAAGTAAAAATCAGCAAATGGTCCTTGACAGTTGTTTCATCTACAAGTAACTTGTGTAATTCTATAAAATCAATAGTTGATGCTTTTTAAACCTACCGTTATCTTGTGCAAAATGAACCTTGTTTTGTCACACGAAATACCGGTGTGGAGATGCATAGTACTGATGACACGTGGGAGTGACGTCTGGTCAGGTGTCCAGGCTTCTTCTTCCCATCTGACCGGGTATGTACGGGACCGCTTTGCAGTGTTTATTCCTTATTGCCCGATATTCTTAGAGCGATTGGGAAGGTTCACGAGGGCGCTAGAGGATTCTCACGTTTCCAGAGCCATGTACAAATAGGATTTTTACTTTGATGTTGAATAGCATTCAGTCGCTCAGTTTCTGTCGGTCAGTACACAGCCGCGCACTTGAGAACCCTCATCCTTTTATGTGTAGGGTAAAACGGAGGTGCTATTCAGTCGATTCATTCACGAAATTCAAGCACAATCTCTACCGCCTAATATTGCTTTTTAAGTCGTAATAATTTAATTATTTAATTTAATCTACTGCGTAAAAATGGGTCTACGAAAATTCCTATGAAGGTGTGGCTGACCACAAAAAGTGTGTGCACCACTGGTGCAAAGCAAGACGAAAACTTCACTCATAGCAATTTGGTTTTCACAGGTAACTCACCTGAATCCCATCTGAATTACCGGTTTATGGTGTTATTGTAACTGAATGTAACCCACCAGGCCGCCTCATGTTTCAGTTGCTATGATGTTCGAGAACTCGAAATACATTGTACAGACGTAACGCACTACTCACAAGTTTACTGAAAACTCGTTAAGAGCCCAAGACCGGTTCTCCTCATCAGGCGGAATAGTCTCTGAGTTTACGTCAAAAGTTAAAATTAGGGTTATCACATGGTCGTCCAGCTGGGTAGCAGGTGAGTCTCACTCAAAAACCGAATTAGTGTGTAAATTAGTGCAGTTGCTGATTTTCGGGCAATATGTCTTCTGGTAAAACATAAGTTTGACAGGGACTTCGACGTGGCGCCCATCTGATGATCCCAAAGAAGAGCGAAATTGGTCGTGAGTTGTCAGACAGCTTTATTGATCTTATGGGCAGTGTGTTACGTCCATACGAAGTGAATTTAAGATCTCTAGCAACAGTACGGTTGGCGCATTTGGTTGGAGAATACTCTAAACGAGCAGTTCTTCTGAATCACACGGCAACGCCAAAATAGTATTCCAGTTCCATAGATGCTATTCTCGTCACAATGGAAAATGATGTGCAGATATTAGGTTCTTGGACACAGGTATAATCCTGAATGTTGTACACACCACTGACGACCTACTGTGATTCCTGTCCCGTTGCGAATTCGATTTTCTATCGAGATACTTGAGAACAAGGGATAGCAAATCTAAGAGGTCGAAAGTTGTCCACTAAGCGATGATGCAACAATCTAAGAGGTCGAAAGTTGTCCACTAAGCAATGAGGATTGGGCATACCCGTTTGAACGGTTCTTCTCCTCCCCTGGCGCCAGTATTTCGATGAGGCAACGTCAAAACGGGTAAGCACTTCGCTCCAGTTTCGTTCTCATCAGTCCTCATCATCATCATACCACTCAGGCGTAAACTCCTAGCCAGACGAACTAATTCAGTTGCGTCCAGTGCGCTGCGGTGGATTAGTGCGATCACGCTTCAGAACGGGCCGAAACCTCGTCACGACCAAGAATATGCATGGCTGATAATCTCTAAAAAAGAGTGAGCCTCGAGTTCGGTGCTTCCCACCTTTGGTTTTGGCACACCAGAATAAATGGGTGAGAAAGGAGCAGGACCGTTCAAAAGAAGACAGTGTGACTGCGAATTTCACAACCCCCTGCAACTAATTCACCATGCAATTTCAATGTAGCTGCGAAATTTCGTTACCCAGTTCAATATTTTGTAACCGCACGTATCACTTACCGTTACCCAGCTCAGAAGTTGTTTCTACTCGATATTCAGAATCCATGTGCGATGCATGCTCTACGTAGGCTTTTTAACCTTGTGTGGATAAACCGAGTAAATAAGTAGTATTGTAGCGAGTAATGCAGTAAATAAATGAAAATAAACTGTTGCAAATATAAATTTTCTCGCAAAGAACTGCGCTTGACGTAACTTTGCACTCAGACTGCTATGTTCGCTGTATGTATTCACTTTGTTTGTGCACCCAGTATTTACATGTATATATATACTAACGCCCATATAGTGTTTCGCGCAGCTTATTTTCTGACGTAAAGATCGATTCCTACACTACTCACTGGCCATCTAATAGAAAACGCTTGAAAAACAACTGCGAGTAATCGTTTTCGAAAACGTTTGGTGACAATCGGTAGATTTATTGTTGGGCAACGTTTCGCTTTTGACACAAAAGCTTCGTCAAACCAAACGTCATACCAGGTTCCGAGTTTGGTCAAGGCAGAAGGAGAACCAATGAGCTAAGTTCAAGCCAAATCTCTGTTGGGTGTCGGCCGAAGGATTTTAGTGTGTTAGAGTGATTGAACAAGTGTTGGGTCGGTCGGGAACCCTACATGTGTTTGGGTCCAGCCTAGGGTCCAGTTCTTCTGGTTCGGTTCATTTGATGGCCGTTCTTGAACGTCGTTTGAACCTTCTGTCCGTCTGTGTGGATGAGCTAGTGCTAAGATAGTTGTGTAAGAGGGATACTGTGACCTTCGGTCAGATTGGGATTTTCACCCCCACGCCACCCCATTTTTTGCTAATGATTCTACGTGAATTGACAACCACACCGTCACGTTTCAACACGGCGTATCTATAATATTCTATAATATTCAATACCAATAGGGGAACAAAATAACCACAAGTACTGTAAGCCGAATAGACATTTTTATGCAACTGTCTATCCTATATGCTGGCCTCTGTCTCTGTGGCGCTGTTTTGAAATACCCAAGTATGGTCATTTCATTTGTGGAAAAATCAGCTGACTCTACTAAACAGCAGAGGAGGAAAGCCAGTGACAGAAGAAAGGGATATTACGGTTTTTACCGCGGGGTGAACGTTTCTCCGTGTAGATGTTAAACAGGCTTTCAAGGACTTTAGAGGAGTGTGGAACCTTTTGGGGTGATTTTTGACGGCCTGCTCAATATTCTTTCATCAAATGTATCTCTTTGAATCAGTACATTACATGGGCTACCTGAGTTTTCATATTACGGTCATAAAACTGTGGTAATAGCTTGAAGACGAACTTCTTGATTACTCACAGTTGAATGACTCTTGTTCGTTTTATTTGTAGACGTTGCTTATTTTAACTTGCTCTAAGAGGGTGAGGGATTAGTGGATTTATATAATGTGAACGACATCGTTTACCGTTTGGCATTTTGCACCTACAAATTACAAAGTTCATGGTCACACCACCATCGTTTGAACGGTTGTATTCCTGCCCTGGCGTAATTATTCCGGTGAGTCCACACCAAAGGGAAGCACTGGACTCGAGTTTCGCTCTTATTAGAGCTCATGTGCAGTGCATATCCAATGGCCGTGTGGGGATTCGAATCCCGGACATCCGGTATGCGAAGCGAGCGTGTAACCACTACTCCACCAACGCACGTTGAATGCATCTGAATTTTCACGTCTGAACAGGTGAACGTGTTCACACTTGAGATATGTGATTGGTGTGCCCGACTCATCAAACGACGACCCAGTAACTGTCCCTGTTTGTGACGATCGATTGAGTCGGGCACACCAATCAAATCGCTCAAGTGTGAACATGTTCACTTGTTCAGACGTGAAAATTCAGATGCGTCCAATTTGCGTTGATGGAATAGTGCTTACACGCTCGCCTCGCATATTGGATGTCCGGGGTTCGAATCCCCACACGGCCATTGGATATGCACTGCACATGAGCTCTAATAAGAGCGAAACTCGAGTCCAGTGCTTCCCTTTGGTGTGGACTCACCGGAATAATTACGCCAGAAGAGGAGTACGACTGTCCAAACGGCAGTGGTGTGACTATAAACAAAATACCTATCCCGCTAAACCACAAAGTTCAAAGTCTTACTTCCGGGTTCCTTATCCCTGCTCTGAAACATCAGAGTGAATAGTTTCGGTTCGCTGCTCGGTTCACATGTCTTGGTAGCCGCATCGTCCGCCACGGATAATCAGGGCACGGTGTTCACCAACTTGCGTCAGTAATGGATACAGGACCGAATATCTCCAGAACTAGAAGGCTGCCATACAAGGTGTTGTATCGTGGGTGGCCGTCTATTGGTTACGCCTGCGCTGTGCCTGCCAGAATACGCGCTAAGAAGACAGAGAACTCGGGACACGGCTGTATTTTCAGATCAAAACATATATAGGATGACTAAATGGCCATTTTTGGTCGTTCACTTGTTCGTTCTGTACAGCCTATGGCGGTGTTCCGGTCGTGAACAATTTCAGCTCCACTCCACTGGTCTCAGGTTGCTAAACCGTGTTTGGTGAGCTCCGCCAACGCAAGCGCTTTCCGAACGTGTCGTACCGATGGTGACCTTGGGGATGCGCCACCCTCTGCACATGTACTTTTCCCATGTCTGGGCGCGTCCTTTCCGCTCCGAGGGCTTAAGAAGACTTCAAGTGTCTGATCACCGATGCTCCAGGAAGTTTGAAACAATGTGCTGTGTAAACGGTTTGAACACGTACGACGTATATCTATACACCATCCACAGGAGAGAGCACTGGCTCAGAGCGTTTGTTGATGGAAGGTTTGCTGGGGACAGGCCCTGAAATGAAAGCGCCTGCTGTCAAACTGAGTGCTATGCGGACATTCGGACTTTCCTGATTGAGTTCCATATGATCGCAGATGCTTGAAAAACGTGCAGGGCAAGGCATGCAGCTGACCCAGTGAAGCACATCCTGTCACTTCCTAACCGGGTTGTCCAGCCAAAGTTCGGCCGTCATTGTGCGCTGGACGAATCTTGGATGAGGTCCTCAAAGACAGTTGGACTGATCCCGCTAATAGTGCCTTCCTTCGACGTGATGCTCGGATTTTTTTGTTCCAGTGCTGTCCAAAGGTACAGACACCTTGTCCTAGATCATCTTCTTTAAGGACACGGAGCTTTTCCGCACAAGAGTCTCTGTCGTTCCCTCTTCTTTTCATTCTTTACCAAGGCACTCTCCACCCATAAGTTGTATGGAATTATTGGTGTTTCCTTGTCAATGATGATGATGATGATCGATCTCATAAAAAACTGAGTACCAGGCACCCACTAGTGAACTATATATATATGCAACCAAACAAGAAGCACTTTGAAACAGAAAATCGAACGTCATTTACTCATTACAGAGTGAGTAATGCTCAGATATGTCATCTCTTTAGCTCTATAGTGAAGGTGGTTTCCAGGTGGTAAGTTAGTTAGCTTAGACAGGTAGCGTGACACCTCCACCATGTGGTTGTGGTTAGCAGAGTCTATGGTTTATTTGCGGGAAGTCAGCTCGTTCGCAAAGCAACAAATTCTGAGTAACGTGTTCTTCCAAGAAACTATTCTGTGATTTCGAGGCCATCGTGCCAACTGAAGCATTGAGTGGCCTTTGTACAGCATATTCAGTTGAAGAATACGATTAAAAAAGGTGGTATTCAAACAGAACCCAAAGTAGACAGAAAACCTGAACCCCAAGTTTGGAAAACCTTTGATGGGGTGTCAAAGACTTTACAGCAAGCTTATGAACTGTGCACTTTGCAAAGCGAATAGCGTGAGCACTTTAGGGTGGAGGCATCCAGTCGTTGAACTAGGAAACCTTATGAAAACTCTCACGTAGAATAAGCTGTGTGATTCAGCGTCCACCGATGTCCCCCCTAACCCCTTCTCACCTGTGTGATTTCTGTATGTTCAGACTGAGAAGCCTACTGTAAGATGTTTCCACATGGATGCATTGTCATAAATCCAAGTTAACGTAAGGCTTCTTTTGAAGGAAAAATTGGCAACTTTGGCGCCTAAATATACTTGTTTCATCGTCTTACGAAATCCTCCCTTTTGTTAGGAGGTCACAGAGCAGAACTATGTTTCCCACGCGGGTTCCCATCTGCATGGACATGATTTTCTTGCAGAAACAGACTTCCTGGATAGAATCGCTTCGATGTTATCGAACAGGATGAATTAGAAAAGCAGACCTACAAATTAAGCTTTGTCAACATGGTTTCTGATGTCAGGCGTTGGATCGACAATGACCTTGAAACGACTACACGTCTACATACCAGCATCCGGTCCTGGATAAAATTGATTGCTTTTTTGTGAACAACATATTTGAGGAAACGGACTTCGATTCAATCAGATGATTTAGAGTTTTAGCCCATTTTGAGCAGTTGAAAAATGCGAGGGAAGATGAATGGATGACGAGAACGGAAGCGAGATTTTTTCCAGTATTCGGACAAACCTCCTGCACACTCAGTCCACCTGGAGTTGACAATCCGGAACTCAATGAAATCGATTTGAGATTTTTTGGGAAAATACTCAGTTCTGTTCCAGTTTTCGGTTTCAGCCGTGCTCAGCAATTGAATGGCAAGTTTTAAGAGTTGATCAAAATAAGAACCGGCGAAAATCGACAGGCCAAGCTCATCTGGACTGATGATGCTCTCCTTATAATATTCTATACAGTCATAATAATAACGAATACTATCTCATTTCGATAGGGACAAAACACCAAGTCGTCACCGAGGAACATAAAATCGAAACATCCGACAGAAATCCCTCAATGTTTCTAGTGGGAGGGATACTTGAAATTCGAAACAACACTGAGGGTAGTTGCTGAGCATTATTCCGTATATTATCGTGCTCTAACTCCGAATCACCCTTTGCTACACTAATCAAACACGGGTATCCCATCACATTGCGATCTGAAAGAGCGGCTCACCCGACGTTGGAAACAGGTGAATTATTTGTCGGAAGTTTTCTGGAACAGGTGGGTGAAAGAATACATTCCGACGCTTCAGTTACGCCACAAGTGTTTGAGTCGGAATAGAAACCTCAGAGAGGGTGGCGT